CCCCCACTCCTTCCTCTAGAATGTAAATTCCCCAAGAACATGACTCTTACCTTTGCTGTTCCCTGCTCTGTCCCCAGGGTCTGGAACAGTGTCTGGCCAAGTAGGCCTTCGGTGTTGGGGAATCCAAATATGAACCCAAGAGGCTCACAGCTCAGTGGGGAAACAGAAATAAACAACTATAATGTTGTTGTTAGTTGCATCCAGTTGATTTTGGACTCATTGTAACCCCATGTGACAGAGTAGAACTGCCCCACAGGGGTTTCTAAGCTGTAATCTTTATGGGAGCAGATCGCCAGGTCTTTTTCCCGGGAGGCCACTGTAGGTTTGAACCGCCAACATTTCGGTTAGCAGCTGAGTGCTTAGCCATTGCACCACCAGGGCTCCTAACAATTATAATACAGTATGACAAATGTTATATTAGTGGTAAAATCACAAAAGACGAAGTAAGGCTGTTTCGGGAATGTGCCTTATAAAGCTGTTGTGGCCAGTCTGGCTGCTGAGTTGTTTTTTTTGCTTCTTCCAGAAAACCCTCATAGGTGAAAGCAGAAAACCTTTAACTTTAAAGCCTGTTTTTTTAAGAGACTGCAAAACATTCTTTTAAACCAGGCAAATCTGGTTTAAAGGAACGCTTGTGTTTTTTACTTTTAGCTATGCAAATGTGAACAAGTGTCATTGTTTTGGGGAAAATGGAGGAGGTAACCAAATGCAGATGTTTCAGGAGGAAGTCCTCCTCTCTCTAGGAATTGATTTGGCAAACTTTTTTTTGTAAGGGCTCAAATAATAAATATTTTAGGCTTTGCAGGAAATCCATACAGTTCTTGTTGCAAGTACTCAACTCTGCTACTGAAGCATGAAAACAGGCATAGACAGTACATAAGGGAATGACCACGGCTGTGTTCCAATAAAATGTATGTAAATGAAACTATAAAAACAGGCAGCAGGCTGAATTCGGCTTGGGGGGCAATAGTTTGTCAATCTCTGCTTTAGAACATCGTGATTATGGGGCCTAAAAACTAGAGAGAGTAGACATGCTGTGGGGAGGTAAGCTGACTCCAAGTAGATGCTTGGCTCAGAGCTATGCAAACAGGCTACCTTCCAGGACCCTCTGTGGACATGGACTCTGAAGATACTCCTTCTAAGAGCAGCTGTAAAATAGTGTCTGTATTACCTCTCTTGTTAACTCCTTAACTTTTCAGGTAGAAGTCTCAGCCTTGGCTCAGGTGTGTTGAAGGGAAATAAGAGAAGAGCCTGCCCCATGTTTGGGGCTGAGGAGCAAAGGGGGCAACTGTTCTCTGACCCCTGAGGCCAGAGTGGTGGAGGTACCCATGGAACTGAGCAGAGAGCAGCTATGCCCAGAGTAGCTGCAATCAGCAGCAGAGGTGCAATGTGGTAGCTTCTGTGGGGAGAAGGTCGGAGTTGAAGAACAGTAGAAACCTACTCCTGAGAGAGGAGGAGGCAGCAGTCCCCCTAGGAAGCTTATAGTGAGTAACCTGGAGACACCTCCTTCTCTGTAGGAAAGTGAGGACTTGAACCATCACTACTGGGATGTCTAAGAAAGTCAGGTCTTCTTTTGTAATCACGGGCAGTGTCCAGAAGACTGGCCATACCACCTACACATCTTTGGGTCCCCATGGCATAAGCACAAGTGTGGAGCACAGAGTAGGTCTGTCAGTTATTGAACCTCGAATGACTGACCACCCCAACCCCTGTCCTGGCTGTGCCATTGGGCCCCAGCCACTGAGCCTCTACTCAGCACAATGACTGAGGCAGTTAGAACCAAGGACTGAAGCCAACTACAAAAGTCAAAGGAATTGCTTTCATGGAGGCGACAAAGCATCATACAGATCCACTCAGCTTCCGTCCCCCCAGGGAGAAGAGGCCTTCGTTGTTGGCTGTAGTAGAGGAGTAACTCTGAGAAATAACATGGAATTGTTCAATCTTGTAGCCAGCCTCTCTCATGGCAGCTTCCACGGCCTCCCGGCCCAGGGAGAGGCTGGAGAACCTCTGCTCACCAATCATGTAGTAGCTGCTCTTGAGGGCATCAGTCATCACCAGGAAGGCCCCTGGCTTGAGCAGGCTGCTGAGGTTCTTAAGGGTGGTGCGGTAGGTGGGGAGGTCCGGGCAGGCGGCGTCCAGGCACAGAGTTGTGAGTAGGCAGTCAGCGGGGGGCAGGGAGACAGACCCCAGAGGCTGGCTCTGGGTCACATCACACTTCAGGACCTGCTTGACCGCCCACCGCAACTTTTCCTCCTTCTCAGGTCCCTTGACTCTGAAACACACAAACCGACAACATGGCTTGCTACCCGAGTCATTGGGATCGTACATGTCTTTGGTCGGGGCAGAAATGGCAGTGTTATCCCATTGTAAAAACCAGTTGCGATCGGGTTGACTCCGACTCATGGCGATCTCATGCGTGTCAGGGTAGAACTGTGCTCCATAGGGTTTTCAGTGGCTGATTTTTGGGAAGCAGATCTCCAGGCCTTTCTTTCAAGGCACTTTTGGGTGGTCTCAAACCTCCCACCTTTCGCCTAGCAGCTGAGTGTGTTAACTGTTTACACACCTGGGACACCATTGTAAAGGCAGAGAAAGAAATGAAGGCCTGTTTTGGTAGCTGCATGTGATCACATTACCCTGTGCTGGGTTAAACCTCCTTAATAACGTGGTAATGATGATAATAATACCTAGCTGACGACAATGCACTGCCCCACGTGAAATTATTCTTCCTCCATTGCTTAGAATAGTGCCTGGCTTAAAGTAAGTACTCAAAACACGTCATCTGTTATTATCATTACCCTAGTCCACTCTGATGAATCGCAAGGTGGTGGCTATTTAACTCACACGTACAAGTAATAATGAATTTTAAATGCTGAAATGGTATCATGGTAGTAGTTGCTGGTCTGTGGGGAGGAGAGGGGGAGTTACTCATAGCATTTATAGAAACTGTTGATCTCTGCCCCACAACTGTGGCCAGGGCCCCTCAGGACAGAAGAAAACTATCAGTTCCCATTCTCAGGTTCCAGAAAATACTGCAGCTAGAGAATACGTTTTCTGAAGGCGATTATTTCCTTGGTAGCCTTGTTAAGAATGGGGTTTCGTGAGAGAAATTAATTAATGAAAGGAGAAGAGAAGGTAAGAGCAGGAGACGGAATAGAATACCTCAGATCCATTTGGAGTTTGTTAGGGCAGGAATGAAGGAATAAACTAATAGATGAGCAAACGTAAGTAAACACAGAGAGGGCACAAGGGAAACTGGGAGAGAGGAAATAAAGGAGAAAGAAGTAGCATATAAAGGGAAGAAATAATGAGTGTGTGAAGTGTCCATTAGGCCACAGAGCCCTAACATGGTAGGAGTAATAATTGGTACCAAGCCCACTGAGGATGTTAATGAACAAAGCACTGGGGATGCAGATCCAGGCTTCACTCAGGGAACAGGCAGTCCACTGTCTGATACAGACTCTAGGAGGAGACGGACGCTTAGGCCGTGAGACAGACATTCACAGCAACCATTTCTGGTCAGGGAGGAGAAGTCAATGGTTTCAATAAAATTTGCAGATTTACCTGTAGGTAGAATGATTTGAGATCGTGGATATTAGTTGTAAACCTCCAATTTAAATATTTAGTTAAAATATTAAGCCTAGTGTATATAATCAATTATTTGTAAGCATCCTTTACATTTGTTGTAATTTTTCATTTAAAATGCTTAGGAATAATCGTAGAAAAAGATGTTCAACATCATTAGCCATCAGCCCAATACAAATCAAAACTACAACGAGATATTATTTCAGATCCACTACGGAGCCCTGGGTGGTGCAATGATTAAGAGCTTGGCTGCTAACCAAAAGCCAGTAGTTTGAATCCACCAGCCGCTCCTTGGAAACCCTATGGGGCAGTTCTATTCTGTCCTGTCGGGTCACTATGAGTCAGAATCGACTTGACGGCAACAGGTTTGGTTTTTTGGGGGGGTTATGATGGCTATTATTAAAAAGTCAGATAGTAACAAGTGTTGTTGAGAATGTGGAGAAATGCTTTGCTGGTGGGAATGTAAAATGGTGTGCTACTTTGGAAAACAGTCTGGCAGTTCCTCAAAAACTAAAACATACAGTTGCCATATGACCCAGCAATTCCACTTGAAGGTACTTATACCTGTTAAAGATTGAATTGTGTCCCCCCAAAATATGTGTTGAATTCCTGACCCTTGTACCTGTGGAGGAGCCCTGGTGGCATAGTGCTTAAGAATGTGGTTGCTAAGCAAGAGGCTGGCAGTTTAAATCCACCAGCCACTGCTTGGAAACCCTATGGGGCAGTTCTACTCTGTCCTATAGGGTCACTATAAGTCGGAATTGACTCTCCAGCAATGGATTTGGTTTTGTACCTGTGGATGTGATTCTGTTTGGTTTTTCTTTTATTGTGTCAATGAGGCATACCAGTGTAGGGTGGATCCTAATCCTAATCACTTCTGAATTATAGAAAGATCAGAATAGACACAAAGACAGGGCTTTCAAGCCAAGGAACATCAAGGAAACAAGAAACACCAGGGGCTACTGACAAGGAAGGAATCCACAGGGCCAAGACCTTGCTTTGAACTTTTAGCCTGCAGAACCATGAGAAAATAAATTCTTGCTCTTTAAAGCCACCCACTCATGGTATTTGTGTTACAGCAGCAGTAGGTAACTAATACCATACCCAGGAGAAATGAAACATACGTCCATACAAAATCTTGTATACCAGTGTCTATATCAACATTATTCATAATAGTCAAAAAGTAGAATCAAAAGCAAACCAAATGTCTGTCAACTGATGAGTGGATAAATAAAATGTGAAATTTCCATATGATGGAATATTATTTGGCAGAAAGTGGAATGAAATACTGATTCATGCTACAGTGTGCATGACCCTTGAAAAGATTATGCTAAGTCACAAAAGACCACGTATAATATAATTACGTTTATATTAAATTTTCAGAAAATGCAAAGCTAAAGAGACCAAAAGGAGATTAGCTGTTGCTGGGGGAAGGGATTGAGGGTAGGGGTAGGATGGTTGGGAGCAATAGGGGGTGAGTGCTGATGGGCACAGGGTATCTTCTTGGATTAACAAAGATGTTGCAAAATTGATTGTGATGATGGTTCCACAACTCTGTGGATATACTAAAAACTGGTGAATTGTTTGCTTTAAATTGGTGAATTGGATGTTATATGAATTACATCGCAATAAAGCTGTTATATTAAAAACAAAAAGCTTAGTAAGGTGCTGGTTTCACCAAATTCCTACCAATCACTAAACTGGTATCCATGCAGGGAATAATAACTACCCTTGACTGAATCTACCTACTTTATTGAGATTAGAAATGTTAGTAGGGTGACCAATATGTACTGATTAGTCTGGATTTTCCAGTCTTGGCACCAAAAGTTCTACATCTTGGGAACCCCTGTCAGGCCTAGGCAAAAATGGATGGGTAGTCATCCTAAATGGTAGGGAAAGCAGGTACAAAGCTGTTTACCCAGCCCGATGGAATGTGGATGATTTGGCAGAACATTTTAAGAATTAAAACATAATAATTCAACACTATGAAAGTCTGTGAAAAACATGGACTTGAATGTAGAAGTAATCTAGAGCAGAATTTTTTTTTAAATAACCTATCGATTTGAACTACCAATCTTTTGGTTAGCAGCCAAGCTCTTCACCACTGCGCCACCAGGGCTCCATCTGCACATATGGATGAAGATAATTCAAAAATGGTTGCAGCAGTACATCAACAGGGAACTGCCAGAAATTCAAGCCAGTTTCAGAAGAGGACATGGAACGAGGGATATCATTGCTGATGTCAGATGGATCTTGGCTGAAAGCAGAGGACACCAGAAAGATGTTTACCTGTGTTTTATTTAACTATACAAAGGCATTCAACTGTGTGGATCATAACAACTTATGGATAACATTGCGAAGAATGGGAATTCCAGAACACTTAATTGTGCTCATGAGGAATCTGTACATAGATCAAGAGGCAGTCGTTCGAACAGAAAAAGGGGATACTGCACGGTTTAAAGTCAGGAAAGGTGTGCGTCACAGTTGTATCCTTTCACCATACTTATTCAATCTGTATGCTGAGCAAATAATCCAAGAAACTGGACTATGCGAAGAAGAATGTGGCATCAGGATTGGAGGAAGAGTCATTAACAACCTGCGATATGCAGATGACACATCCTGGCTTGCTGAAAGGGAAGAGGACTTCAAGCACTTACTGAGGAAGATCAAAGACTACAGCAGTATGGATTGCTTCTCCCTCTACAGAAAACAAAAATCCTCACAACTGGACCAATAAGCAACATCATGATATATAGAGAAAAGATTGAATTTGTCAAGGATTTCATTTTACTTGTATCCACAATCAACCCTATGGAAGCAGCAGTCAAGAAGTCAAACGATGCATTGCATTGGGCAAATCCACTGCAAAAGACCTCTTTAAAGTGTTAAAAAGCACTTTGAGGACTAAAGTGTGCCTGATCCGAGTCATGGTGTTTTCAATCGCCTCAAATACATGTAAAAGCTTATCAAAGAATAAGGAAGACGGAATGAGAATTGGTACTTTTGAATTATGGTGTTGGCAAAGAATATTGAAAACACCATGGACTACCAGAAGAACGAACAAATCTGTCTTGGAAGAAGTACAGCCGGAATGCTCCTTGGAAGCGAGGATGTCGGGACTTTATCTCACATACTTTGGACATGTTATCAGAAGGGACCGGTTCCTAGAGAAGGACATCATGCTTGGCAAAGTAGAGGATCAGTGAAAAAGAGGAAGACCCTCAGAGAGACGGATTGACACACTGGCCGCAGCAATGGGCTCAAATATAGCAACAGCTGTGAGGATGGTGCAGGACTGGGCAGTGTTTTGTTCTGCTGTACCCAGGGTCGCTATGAGTCAGAACTGACTCAACAGCACTTAAGAGCAACACGTATGGATAACTTAAGTGTATAAAAAACGTTAAAGAAATGACAATAGTGTTTTCTGAGTGTGTTTAAAGAGGATCCTCTCTGTTGGGAACATTGTAGGAATATGTACTTAAGTGATTACCTCAGAAGCAGGGTGGATCTCCGTGTCCTCTTGTGTATTAAGCTGTTTTAAAGACGTACATGCATGTTACCACGTAACTAGTACTTTCCAGTCAGATGATGATGGAAATTGTTCCAAAACTGTGAGACACACTGAAATCTCAAAAGCTAACAGAGATTGTGCCAATTTTAGAGGGAAATTTGTTAGAAACACCCACTGTC